GAAGTTATTCTTAAATATATATATATATATATATATATATATATATATATATATATATATATATATGAAAACTGATGCCAATATAACGAGTTAAAAATATTGTATTAGTAAGTCAAGACTTAGTCCGAGTACTTGTGTTTTAGGTTAAATAGTTTTGTACAGTTTGTCTCGGAGTCTTCGCTCGTTCCCATGGACGTAATTGGCAGTATGATAGCACACTCTACTCAACTTTTTTTTATCTCTCTGTTCTTCTTAAAAACAACATTTGACACTTGTTCTATTATTTTTTATTTGATTCCGCAGCCTACAATACTTTGGTGCAGCATATAGGGCAATGTTTGTTGTTTTATTTTTATTATTTTAAGATTAAACTTTGCCTACACAAGCCTCTCTGTATAGTCTGTAAGGGAATAGGCTATAGTCTCTAAACAGTGTGGATTAGGCCGGGCTAGTCTGATTCCCGTGAAGCTAATCACAAGCAACCAAAACAGCCATTAGAGCTTCATGCCCGGGTGCTATATGTCATTGCGTACATGAGCTCCCTTGACATTTTTGGTGAAAAAATGACCAGTTATTTTTTCATCTCATGTTGTCATCATGCTCTGTCAATTTAGCTCTACACAGAGGTAATGAAACGGCTGTTAGAACATTATGACTGTGCCATGTGGGTCATGGCGCCCATGACATGCATGACATGACTTTCGTGTTACGACCAATCATTCATGTTAGGAATACGCTTCGATTGTGTCGTGTCAGATTTAGTATACACCAAATTAATAAAGCAGCTGTAGGAGCTCCATGACCTGGTTATGCATGTCACGGCGTATATTACAAGCATGACAAGTTTTTTGCGTTATGACCAGCTATTTGTGTTATTCAAAATCTCTTATCGTGTCGTGTAAATTTTGCTACTTAATTAGATGGTGAAACCGTCATTAGAACTATATGACCACGTCCTATATGACATTGCATACATGACATGCATAACTCTTTTTGGTGTCATGAACAGTCTTTTTTTCTTACACTGTTATGTCCTCTGAATTTTTTATACTTAAGTCTAACAAACGTTCGTTAAAACATTATGACTGCATCCTGTGTGTAAAGGCGCCTATAACATGCTCGACATGATTTTCGTATTGAGACCAAACATTATTGCTAGCCATGCTTTCGTATTCTGTCAATTCAGTTTTGGTACACATTAAGTTAATAAAGCAGCTGTAAGAGCTTCATGACCAGGTCATGTATGTCATGGCGTACATAACATGCTTGGTATTTCTAGGTGTTATGACCAGTCAATCTTTTATGTTAGGCTGTTGTCATACCCTGTCACTTTTGGTGCACATAAAGTTAATAAAATGGTCTTTAGAACATTGACTGTTTTATGTGTGTCATGGCACGCATAACATGCATGACATGATTTCCAGGTTATGACCAGTCATTCGTGTTAGCCATGCGCTCCTATTAGGCCATGTCAGATTTTCTGCTCATCGAGGTAATAAAGCTGCCAAAAGAGCTCCATGACGGGGTCATGGTGTCATGGACTAAAAGGTATGCATGACAAGGTTATCGTGTTTGACCAGTCATGTATATTTTCTTCATGGTCTCATCATACGACATCGATACTGACATACTGAAGCTCACGTAAGGGCAATTGTAGCTCCTTGACCATGTCACGTATGTTATGGCATACATTAAAGTATGTCAATATTTTAATGTAAAAAGTAATAATTTATGTTTATCACAGGCTCTTTTATGCCAGGTGAGCACCTCCACGCGCTGGCCAGGCCGATTTTTGTACTAGATAGACCAAATAGATACCCTTTAAATGTCTTTATTTCACCATCAAAGGCTTTGCTAGTAATAATTTGCGCCTAATCGATTTCTTACCAACATCGCGTGCGCAAGCCCATCCACAAAAAGGGATGAACAGAGCTGAATTACCGCACATTTCATTAAAAGCGATTGCTCTCTGCATGCCAAGTGATGCCAGTGAACGCGAATGTTTTGATATGGCGTCCACAAAATCAGGGTCTTCATCCTTCCCAGAAGGAGCACAGGAAGGCACCCATCTATAAATGAGCCACAGTGCCACCCTTTCTAATATGTTAATGTATGGAGCTGGCTTTGCACCCCACTTTCTTCCCTCTCTGCCCTCCCCTCAACCCGTGTGCACGCTTTTGCGGATCAGTAGTTTGGTGGTCTTTAATCAGAGCTCACGTTCGCAGGAAAACAACCACTGACGTTTCAAAGTCCAACCTGCTCGGCTGATGTGTGAGTAGCCCTCATGAGCCTGAATAAGTGATCGGCCCCAGGCTAGGACAGGATCTCAAATAGAATCCTACGTAATCTGGACCACAAATCTTCCATACAAATATTTTATAATCTTCTATATAAAGAATTGCGGACGAGATTAACAAGGTATCGAAACAGGGCCCAACCCAGCAATCGTAAAAGCTAGGGTCAGTCAGCTTTATCTGAAAACAGGGACGTATACTAGATCTTTATTTTATAAGACAGACATTGCTTACTTTATTTATAAGAAAGATGGCTGAACGTGTCATTAACAGGCGCAATACTCAACACAGTAAGGACTATAATATTTGTCTGTAGAATGGTTTCCGGCTGGCATTATTGACCAGAATGTCATAAAGTTAATAAAACACCAGATCATCAATGTTCAAACGTGATATGTCAGTGCAATCTCAGGACAATACCTTGATAAAGCTTCCGGCAATCTCACTCATACGCGTATTCTCTATTTCATCTCTAGTTTTGTCTTGGGGCATAGATTCCACACATTCATCGGCTCTTTCCTCAAGAGCACAAAGGCCATATAAAATAGCAGATCTCAAATTTTAATCCTTCGTTTTTAGCTCCAAAGGTATGCCACAAGGTTGCGTGGTCTCACCACTTTTGTTCAATATTGCTCTCGGTGGGCTGTCTAAGAGGCTCTCCTAAAGAGATGGCATAAGTTACACCCTTTATGATGGTTTCATTGTCGGGTGCACGCGTGGTCACGAGGGCTGAGTAGAAGAGGCACTCCAACAGGCTGTAGAATACACCGAGGCCTATTCATTGGTAACGGACTCCAAGTCTCTCAAACCAACTAGGAACCTTTGCTGTACAATGTAAAGAAGGGGTCCAAAATTTGAGGGCTGGGTTCCTTTTCGGACATTGTTATAAAAATTCTCACCAGCTCTGCTCATGCGATAGAGTAGATGTCGAGTGCTCGGCATGCTTATAGAAATAATGATGGCACAAATGGGCTGACCGTAAACAAGCTCACAGCTAAAATGTCAAGCATGCTTTGGCTTATCACCAGGGTCTTCAACTCTGGAAGTGACATCAGGGAGGACAATTTACTCATACTAATCCACGCTTTCTTAATGAGCCACATTACTTGCGTTGCTGCCACGCACTGCTGGCAAAGTCATAAAAAGACTAAGCCTAATCTCCTGATGTGCAGGAGCACCAAAACAGTGTTAGGGGTATCATTGGTGTTCGCGATAGCACACGTATAACAAAACTGTTGTTAGTGCGCATGCGCCCACTGGTGCTCAATAGCTAACGCTCGACGCACTGTCTGCCCATTCGTGATGTAACCACCATCCAGTAAGCTTCGGGCAATAAGCGCTTTTGTTTTCCCTGTTGGAACTCTGGTCTGTGAGTCCCTGAATGAGGCGCAATAGTACGAATGCTAGCACAGAACTCCTCGTGCAGTTGGGTACGCAAAACACGTTGGAAGAGATAATAAAGGCAGAGAATACGGCTCAGATTGCCAGGCTTGAGCTCCTCCTCGACGGCGGACAGGAACGTCCTGACCATGCTAGGATATGTGAAGGCAGAAGAAGAACGCAAGCACAATCTCACTAAGAATTAAAGGGCTAGTATTGCGGTCTCTTCATTGACCCGCAACGAGCACCCGCAGCACAACGTAGGGAGGCTGAAGGTCAGGGCTTAAGCTCTGCTGAAGCACGTTCATGCAAACCCAGAGTCAAGTTCTCGGTCACCACAGTTGACCACGCAGGTTGTGTTATCAACTCCACATCTACCATGAACGCCACTCTCGCTAAAGCCGAACAGGTAGCCATAGCTATTGCTCTGTTTGACAATTTCCGGCAACACATCTACACGGTCTGATGAGCTGTGGTCTGAGCCTTTTCATCCGGGTCGGTGTAGACCTAAGTAAATACCATCGAAGTTCTTAGGGATGTTTCTCACACCCAAATTTGATTTCTAGATCACCTGTGATCACGCCTGGCCCTTATGCTTACTAAATCGCCCAAGCAAGTGCACTTACTCATCATGCTAGGCAGCCTGAGGGATCTTCAGATTGCAGCCTAGTGGTTTTAGCGACGTTTTCTGATTTTCGACGAGGTAACTAAACAATACCAACTGTAGTGAAGCGTCTTCCCTCTTTCCCATACGGAGAGCACAAGCACCTGTCATCTGCGTGCTTCAAACCAGTGGTTAGAAGATGAGGAAAGGCGCCTAATTTCTGCGCTCCCGACAGGGTTGCAGATGTTAGGTGCCTTTTCTCATCTTCTAACCACTGCCACCAAACAAGCTCATATCGTGCTCTCCATTCACACAGCCAGTTCATTCAATGCGTTTGCCCAACAAACCCAGATTGCCGCATCTGCGTTAGCACTCATAATCTGACAATTTCCCTCATCTCCACACACGGCCGAAGAGAAACGAAGCTCTGCGCTCAGAACTTTTACATCAACTTAGGGCAGTCCAGGGGGCCCACGACGCGGCGATGAGGTTCCATTTATACCTGTCTCGATAAGGAAGCGACTGTAGCGTTATGTTCCCCTAGTTAGGTCGGGGGCGCCGCTGAGGACAGCGTTCTGGTGCTATAGGACAGTGGGGCTCGGTGACCAGCGGAATGTGGCAGTTCTTGGTATAGCTGAGAAACCTCGCGAAAATCCACTGGACTGGTCGTCTCTGCCACAGCGCAGCGCAAGTGCTTCGACACAATGCGAGAACCGGTCTCAATGAATAATCAAGAAGCTGCTGTAACGCATGGGACCTCTCCGCGTGCAGGCTGCAAATTCTTTTGTAAATGCGCCTTGACTAAAGAAAGGAGAGAAAAAGTAGGGCCAAGGAAAACACGTACAGCAACAGCTTAAGAAAGTGGGTGCCCGAGCTGCTGGACTGATGGGCGTGTTCTTGCCGCTAGTAAATTCATTTTTTAAGTTACTTCCTCGTAGGCTTGCCTCCACGCACATCTGCGGACCATCTTGGTGGTCAGCGCAGAAGAACCCATACGTTACCTCAACACGGCCCTCTGCTCTACCATGTTGAGCTGTAGAGTTTCTCAGGACCTTAATAATGTTCTGTGTCTGTGCGTAGCTCCCACTATCGTGCTGACGTGCTCCCACTATCGTCACGCATCGCGCCTGATTCTTGAGTTGTGGGTGAATGAGACATAGAAGGTTATTATCGTCATCATCATATGTGCACGTCATCCGCTTTAATTAGTGTCCCATTGGCGAATGAGGCGGCGGTACGTTGCAACTGACATCTATGAAGCCCTCCCCGCCAATTCACCCGGCTCAAGAAGGCCAAAAACCGACCACCACTCCTTCGACGGCACCACCTACATCTAAAGCCCCGGCTCACAAGGCACTCAAATCGCACGCCAACGTTCCGAATACCAGTGGTACCGGAGGCAACGCAAGCACCAGCACGAGCCCCGACAAAATGGCTAACAAGAAGCACACAGCTCTTGCCAGCAGTGGCCGATCTTCAAGTGACACAAGTGGGTCGCAGCTCTCTGAAGACACGATTGCGGAGCTACGCGAGGCCTTTGCGCTATTCGACAAGGACAGCAATGGCGCGATCAGCACCAAAGAGCTCGGCAACGTGATGCGCGCCCTCGGCCAGAACCCTACCGAGGCCGAACTAAAGGACATGATTACCGAGGTAGACACCGATGGCGACGGCACCGTCGACTTCCCCGAGTTTCTCGCCCTCATGACCAAGAAGGGGCGCAGTGCAGACACCGAAGAGGAGATCCGCGAGGCGTTTAAAGTGAGTACGCCTGCTCTTTAATATACAGTTTATTTGGTGCGAATAGTTATTCTTTTCTGTAATTCGATTCAATCCGTCATGCGCGCAGTGCATGCGTGGTGAACCCTAGTTTTCCAATATGGGGACGTGAAAATATTGAAACATTTGCAAGCAAAGAGGACTTCACGTGCTTCAGTCTCACCAATCATGGAAAGCTTGAGGTCCTAATATAGAGGGCTATCACTCGCTATAATCAAGGCAACCTCAAGCAGCACCAAGTGCTTGAGGTCCATGTACTTAGATTTAGGCGCAGGAACTCCATGTGATCTAAATTTCTGGAGCACCCAACTGCAGCGTCTCTGAAAATCGTATCTTCGTTATTCCATGTAAAACCACGATGGCCGAGCAGCCTCTTGGTCGAAAATATAATTCCCCTCAAGCTGTAACTCCCTGTATAAACTTCAGTAACGATGGTGCATGCTTTGCATAGCTTAAGGCCAATCTGCTCACTCGGTGTCAATTTTAGTTATCATTGCAGGTCCCAAATATTTTGTTATTTATTGGTTTCATCCCATACAAAACGTTTGCGGCAGATACGCTGTCTAGTTTTTTGGGGCATATTTACACCTCGTGCAACATGTTCAATTGACTGCTAAAAGTAATGGCAATTCGGGATGGTATTGCTTATTTTCGCTCAGTGTTTCCAGCACATCGCTCACAACTGCTGACGGCGTCCTCATAAGACATGACCCATACGCCCTCTTGTAGTCACTGTCATTTAGAGAATCCACATAATATATTGTGTCAATTCGTAGTGCAAGAGAAAAATAAACTCTCCCAGAAAACTGCACGCCTTTAGTTAAACTGCCACCATTCTCTCACGAGACTCTTCACGCCTATTTCGTGACACAACACATGTTATTATGTCAGAGCTCGCATCGCGTCCTGTTTTACGGTTGAAAGGAATACGAAAATTGCCGAACTTCCTCACTGCGTATCGAATTTTAATAGGCGCGAGTCTTAGGTAAAAGTTCTAGTCAGCTGTCGCCTTGTCCGTCTGCATGCGTTTGTGTGCGTTTTGTACGTGTGTGCAGGTGAGGAGGTAGGATATGCAGTTTACCTCGGTTACCTATGCAGGTGTTCGATAGGGACGGGAATGGCTTCATCACTGCTGCGGAGTTGCGCCATGTCATGACCACGTTGGGCGAGAAGCTGACAGAAGAAGAAGTCGATGCCATGATACGGGAAGCCGACACGGACGGAGACGGGCAGATTAACTACGAAGAGTTTGTTGCACTAATAACGTCGACCTAGAAGTCTTTATACACGTGTTTCCCAGTAAATCATTAAAATCTATGACATCCCCTGCGCAGAGCGTTTGTTTTCACACTGATGCCGTGCTTCACGAGATGTGTCTGAAATCATCAAATATGAATAATGTGCTGTAATCGCTCGCTGCCTTCACAATGGCATTATCTCTAGTTACAGGCATCTCAATATGCATCTTAAGTCGCCATTTATTAGGACAATTCAGCATACGTGTGATGACGTTTATTGAACCGGAGAATTCGCAACGATGTCGCAACGAAAAATGGCCGAACGACAAGTCTGGCAAAAGCGACCCATGTTCTCGTGCAATCAGAGCACGGGGTTTTTCGTCCTCTTTGGAAGGCGCATACGCTCTAGTGCGTATGCTCCACTACAATACCCCCGGGGTGAAGAGTAGCCATCGTGGCGACTCAGGGAGTATGCACAATGAGGAGGTCGTAGTAGGGCTTGAGACGGTCGACGTGTACGGTCTCGCGTCCTCGACGGTGCAAATCTGGCGAGTGTGTTAGGGGCTCGATGATGGAATTCACCGGTGAGGTTGCGTCAAGGACACGGTATGGACCATGGTACCATGGCACCAAGCCAGAAGTTTAGAAGACAGGCCAGGAACGTGCGGGGGCACCCAAAGCCACACGAGGGAGCCAGTACGAAACGTAGGCGCTATGTGATGAGCGTCGTCATGTCGGGTTTTTTGTAGACCTTGAGCCTCACTTGTCATAGACCGAGCCAACTGACGGCAGTCTTCAGCGTATCTGGCGACTTCCGAAAGCGGGAAGCACTCCGATGCATCAGGGCGGTACGGGAGTAAGGTGTCGAGTGGGTGGGATGGTTCGCGGCCGTACAACAGAAAGAACGGGGAAAAACCAGTAGTCGCTAGCGACGCGGTGTTGTAAGCGAAGGTAACAAAAGGTAAGACAGCGTCCCAGTTAGTATGCTCGGAGGAGGTGTGCATCCTCAGCATGTCGCCAAGTGTGCGGTTGAACCGTTCATTGAGACCATTCGTCTGTGGATGGTATACGGTAGATTTCCGGTGGATGATGATGCATTAAGCGAGAATAGCTTGGATGACCTCCGACAGGAACACTCGACCCCTATCACTGAGTGATTCCCGTGGAGCCCCATGGCGGAGAATGAAGCTGCGCAGAATGAAGAGTGCAACTTCGTGGGCGGTCGCTGCCGGTAGAGCTGCAGTCTCAGCGTAGCGTGTCAGATGATCGACGCCGACAATAATCCACCGGTTTCCAGAGCGACTATATGGGACTATATACGTCATTTAGCAGGCATCTTAGAAACGTCATTTGGCAGGGTAATAGGGAAAGCAAAGGTCATTACGTTCACCCTTAGTTGAGTTAATGGGCTACGTAAAGTGGAAGAATTTAAGTTTTTGATTCGAAGAATCCATTGTAGCTTTGAGATTTCAGGAAACTTGAACGAACCTACAGCTTCACCTTCAAGAGTACAACGCCATAACTTAACCAGGCTTCATGCGCATCCACATCTCAACTGCCAGCTTATACTTTGATTCTCGGCGCATATCTCAACAGTGCTGCTAAAAAAACGAATGACCGTGCGCAAGACGTTGGCTGTTTCAAAGTATCTCAAAGTCTACTCTCAGCAAGATTGTCAAGACCTAATATACCATAATTTTTTTGTTTGCGAATCAGTGAACTTCTCATTACACGTTGTGGAGTCTCGTTGTGGCGAGAGCGCCAGGCTCTTGGAGAGAACCGACACAGCAGACACGGTTGAGACAAACCAAGCCAACAACACATTGTTTAACTATCTTTATATACGATGATATCATCAGCCGAAATATTATACCTTCAATCTTGATCAACACGCTAGCATATCCTTACACAATAGTAAATCAATTGACAACACTCAACAACATGACAAACAAGGTGGTGTATCTAACGCCTGACTCACCACAAGAGCCCCCAGCAGGCAGACCACGGTGCCGTGCACCGGGAGTCCCACTGTGAGAGACAACCATTCGCGCTATACGCCACCAGCCTAAAAGACTCGCCCAACTCTCTCTGCTGCCACCAAGGCTTGCCTTCCGTTAGGGGTCACCACCGGCACTACCGCTCTATCAACCATGATGATGATAGCGGTAATCTACTCTCGTCAACACAACGTCACCTACCGTTCAATAGTTGTGACCTCAAAATACGACTTCTGTGTGAACATGTGCACCACGCGGCGCAAACAACTTTACAGAGGGTCACCCCTGTCACCCTTATTATTCATGATGTACCTACCAGGATTAGAGGCCAAATTAGAGGGAAGTGGACTGGGATTCAACCTCTCTTTAGTCAAACAAAGAAAACTTATTGAACAGGCACTACCAGCATTAATGTACGCAGATGATATAGTGGTAATGGCCAACAACAAGGACGATTTGCAGAGATTGATGAACATCTGCGGTAATGAGGGATATAGGTTAGATTTTAGATTCAGTAAGGAAAAATCAGCAGTCATGATTTTCAATAACAACGAAGGTAGTGAGCTTAGAATACAGGAGGTCACGCTAGAGATAACAAATAAATACAAATATCTGGGCGTATGGATAAGCAATGAGACCGAGTACCTGTGGGAACACGAAATATACGTGACGACTAAAGGTAACAGGAATGCAGCAGTGATGAAAAATAGGGCACTGTGGAATTACAATTGGTATGATGCTGGGAGAGGAATATGCAAAGGGGTCATGGTTCCTGCGCTGACGTTCGGCAATACGGTCTTGTGCATGAGATCAGAAGTTCAAGCAAGATTAGAAATTAAGCAACGTGGAGTAGGTAGGCTTGCTTTAGGAGCTCACGGGAATACACCAAGTCAGGGAGTACAAGGTGATATGGGATGGACATCATTGGAGGGCAGGGAAGCTAGCAGCAAGATAAAATTTGAGAAGCGATTGAGAGAAATGGGGGAGGAGCTTTGGGCTAGGAAGGTTTTCAGCTACTTGTACATGAAGAATGTCGATACAAAATGGAGGAAGCGAACCAGGAAATTGACTGGTAAATACTTGGAAAACAGCAGGGGGCCAAGCCAAAAAGTTTCATCGGTTAAAAAGAAGGTGAAGGAAGCTGAGACCGATATGTGGAGAATCGGCATGATTAAGAAGTCCGCACTAGAGGTCTATCGAACTTTTAAGCAGGAAATTGCCAGGGAAAGGATCTATGATAATATTCGGGGTAGTTCTCTACTGTTTGATGCCAGTACGGGAGTACTGCGAACCAAGACACATCGGGCCAAATACGAAGGGGTAGACACAGTATGCAGTGCGTGTGGAGAGCAAGAAGAAACTGCCGAACACTTGATAATGTTCTGTAAAGGGCTTCACCCTATAGTTCAGGATAATGGCGCAGAGTTTTTCAAAGCACTGGGGTTTAGGGACCGGGAGGGCAAAATAGACTTTAAGCGGGTAGACTTAACTAGAAGGAGGTTATCTGATTGGTGGCTAAAGTCAAGGCACGAGTGAAAATTAAACTCTTCACTGCAAAGTACGGGTCCACAAACTAACTTTTTAAAGAAAAAAATGAATCTAGTTTTAGTTCATTAAGCATTACGGCTTGGTGGCGCTAGCCACCGCCCGATCTAAAGGGTACAGCCATATCCATCCATCAATACATCCAGTGTGTCAGCACCCCCCCCCCCTTCTCTCCACGTCCACAGGGCAGGCAACACGTGAACATGTATTTGAGCGCAGTATCAATACACCTACTCATTGCGAAATTTAGATGTTTTGACTCCTGGTACAACTTTCTGCCCATGGCAATTTATCTATTCACCCAGTTTTCTTTCTTCACGTTTATTACAATATGGTGCAACACGTTCCCCAATACGATCCTTGGCATCAAATATACATATAATATATATATATATATATACATATATATATATATGTATATATATTATAATATATATATATATATATATATATATATATATAAAGGGAAAGAAGTGTGTACCTAAAGCTCGTTTTTCCGTGTTTAACACAGTATTAATGAAATCTAACAGACAGTAATGCCAAGGAATGTACAGGGGAAGTTATTAGAACCAACGGAATGTAAATAAGAAGAAAGAAAATTGCATGAAAAAATAACCAACCGTGAGCTGCTCACGGCTGGTTATTTTTTCATACAATTTTCTTTCTTCTTATTTACATTCCGTTGGTTCTAATAACTTCCCCTGTACATTCCTTGGCATTAGTGTCTGTTAGATCTCATTATATTTATCTTAACCACACATGTCGTACTTCATCTTTCTCACTTGTACATAACCATCATCACAGTAATTGGGCTCGTCCGTCGCTGTTCTGAGCCGATGCAGACATCGCGTACAAAACGCTTCCGTTTGTGCGACCTGGTGAAGTCTTCCTGCGTCTATTGAATATATATATCTATATATGTAAAAAAACTAAGGGAAGGTAGCCGACTTCAGACCAGCTGTAGGATCACACCCAATGTTGCGTGCGTAAGAAAACTCCACTTCGTGACATTTGCTCTTATGAAATGTGAGGCATTTCTTAGCGAACTTCGGCGAATTTGAGTGTATCTATCTATCTATCTAGCCACCTACGACGTTTAGCTCTCCTGGCCAATTCGATAATGGTATCAATTTGAAACTTGGTATGGCATAACATGACTGTATGACAAACATATTTGATTAGACATAGCATAAAAATCATTATATGTATGTCAAGAATGTCCTAATTTACATTTCATGGTCCTGGAGCTCTTTCGGTGGTTTCGTTCACATGGTGCGTTGCAAAACTGGTATGGTATGGCACGAGTGCATGGCGAACACAAGCGACAGGCTGTCAGAAGAAAATCATGGCATGTGCGTCATGTAGCAACATCACTACATGCCACGCTCATGATGCGCTCGCAGCCGTTTCGCTAACTTCACATATATACCAAACTCGGCCTTACGCCACGTAAACGGACGACATAGGTAAATGACATATCCAAACATGTTAATCA